AGTCGGAACTCTCCACTATGACCTGTCCATCTTAGGTGTCCCTGCACGGCATAGCCCATATCTTCTCTGAGTTACTCAGGCCCCTTCGCCACGACAAGGCAGCAGTCTGTGAAGGGGAACAAAGCCAATAGAATAGCCTTATTTTCCATTGCCTTGTTTTTTGGGGAATAGCTTGTGCCTTTTTAATAATTTTCCCCCCAGATCTGCACTGTTTTTTGCCATGTAATTTCATGGAAGCCATGACAAAGTAACAGCAGCTCCTATCGACATAGCCCAATTCTGTAGTACATTTATATTTATACTGTAGGGATATAAAGCCTCATTTGTCTTATCCTTCACATGTGAGAATGAAGAATTGCAAAATTAAGATCCTCGTGCTACAAGATGTACTCTCTTTTTTTGCACATTCAGAAACAATATCAGGCAGTCATTCTGTGGTTGTTGTAATAGTTTGCATTTGATGGATGGTTCTTAGGTCAGTCTTCTTCAATTAGCAGTTCTAGTAGACCAAAAACCTTTCAAAAGAAAATACCTGAGTTTTGTATTAATTGTTATTAATAGCTATGTTATTGTGCAGCAAAGCAGTCAAGATAAACTGAAACTTAATCTAAATAAGACAGAGGTCACTCAAAAGGCAGATCATGGAACAGCAATGCAGACTGTGCTGGGTGTGGTCACACTCCCTCTAAAAGCACAGGTGCACAGCTTGGGGGTTCGCCTGGATTCATCCCTGAGCCTGGATGCCCAGGTTTTGGCAGTAGCCTGAACTGTGGTTGCAAAATTAAAACTATTTTGCCAGCTGCACCCATTCTTGGAAATATCTAATCTGTTCATGGTGATACATGCCTTAGTTACATCATGGCTGGTTTTATCTATAAAACCCTAAACAACCTGGGGCCAAGCTATCTCAAGGACTGCATTTTCCTTTATGAGCCTACCTGGCTGTTAAGACAATCAGAAGAGGCCTTTCTCTCGGTCCCATCTGGGAGAATTCTGAGGAGGAAATATAAATGAGTTCTCAGCCAACATGTTCATGACCAGGGAAGTGGTCATATGAATCAACTGACTATTCCGTTGTGCTCAAGTAAAAAAATTTGAATCTGTGCTGTTGACTTCGAATGAATGAATGAATGAATTTATTTATTACAGTCGGGTGACCAGCTCATAAAACATATTTATGGCTAACATATACAAAATGCAGTTTAAAAATGACTTAGATGAATTTCCATATCTTAGCAGTAGGACTAAATCTATTAAATCATTAATTTCATTACCTGTTGGGTGTGACAGGTTCTGTGTCATCTGGCACCCCATTGAAATAATCAAATATATAAAGATTCAGCCAAGAGTTTGCTGCTCTACATAATTTCATTATTGATTTTATGCACAGCCACATCTTATAATTGCTTTCCTGCTTAAAAACTTCTAATTATTAGAGTGTTTTCCTATAAGAATTCCACAGTATTCCATTTTGAACACTATCCACAAACTCCTACAGCCATACTAAAGACCTAAGTATAATAGATGCCTCTCTTTATTATATTTATCCTCATAAAATTATCTCATGCAACATGTAGACCTAAGAACTTCCTGTGTTGATTCATGCTTCAAAATGCTGAGAACCTGCAGACATATTCTTTAGGCTATAAGGATCTATACTATACTGTGCTGTGAGATAAAATATAAATTATTCATATCCAAGATGCCCCTCATACCTTGCTTTTTAAAGATTTGCTTATATATTTTGTCAACTCCTTTTTCATCACCCTACCACATTGAACCAGACATGAACAGTTTCTGCTTGAGACACTAATAGTTGTCACCAGTGGTTTGGGGAAACAGAGGTTTCCTCGTGGGTATTCTGGATATCATCCCTATCCTCCAACACTAGCTGACCATTCCACAACTTGCAGCCTATACAGCTGTGCCTTCTATTTTATGCTGTAACTCAATTGGAATGGTAGTTTCGTTTAACTGCAACTGGCGAAGTATATGATCACTATTATTTGACTACAAGGCAGTTCATCTGGAGTGACTTGACTTTCTCCCCTAAATTTCTATTTTTTCTTTTTATCTTTATAAATATAGAAAACTATGCTGAAGTGCTAAGTAGATAGATTATTTATTACTTTGTACAGGCAAGAAATCTGAACGTCCACATCTACATTAGTGGAACCATTTTCAACCTGCCACAAATGTGACACAGAAACTCCAAGAGTCCTTTGATAGCATTGATAATGATATATTTCTGGTACAGGCTTTGTGAACTTTCTGGTACAGGCTTATGGGAACACATTCTCCTTTTTTTATTCTGATCCTATATGCAAGCCAGTACAGGTCTTCATAGGAGACTTCTACTAGGCCTGATGACATTTATTCTGTGTATTCACTTGGAATTCTCAGCTTTTCAAAATCTGATCTATCTGATCTTCTAATCCTCAGATTTTGAAATTTTTGTTATCGTTATACTTCTTAGCATTTCGTATCAGTGAGGTGGTACGTGTGCCTTACTGACACCTGGCATTGATCACAAATTGGAAGAAATTCAATAAATCCAGGCTTAATTTCAGGCTTAGTCCTGATAAGGGGTGGTGTTGGCATGGACATTTCTCTGTTCATGGTGTTTCACAAGTTCTTGGTGGGTCTGTATTCCAGCTTGAGGATCAAAGTCCTCAATATATCAAGCCAACATGGATGGTCAACTCCCTTCCTGATGTTCTGAAACTACAAACCTGTCAGTTTCTCCAAATGAGAGGTGCTCAGTGGTTATCTGCCTTGAAAAGTATACCCAAAATATCTCATGTATTGATAATTTATTATTCTTATGAGCTTCTGTTTACATAAAATGGAAATGTGTCATATAATTAAACACAGGGATGGTGGTGGTGATGATGATGATGATATGGTACTGATATGACTTCAATTTTGAAAAGATATAAAGCACATTTTGAACTTTTTATTGGCTCCATTGTGAATTACCTGCCATATCAGAAACTATTGACAACACTGTTATTTAGCTGTCAAAACAGGTTTTCTCATGCCCAAAGCACACTAATTCAATTTGATTCTAAGTGTCATGTTTCCACTGAACTGCACACTATCATTTAGTTATTGAGTCAATGATTTGGATATCATTTAGTTTTAATACCTATTATAAACAAAGAATAAATAAGATTCAGATTTTGTCCCATGTCACACAATTGTAAATGAAATACCTATAGGCTTTAAATAAACATCTCTCTCTCTCTCTCTCTCTTCTCTCTCTCTCTCTCTCTCTCTCTCTCTCTCTCTCTCTCATCTTACTTGAAGTAGCCAAGATTTTTTTTAGGTCTCTTTCCTCTTAGGCCTTTACAACCTAACCACCCTCTCCTACAGAGTCCCTTGAGACAGAGTGCCTTGGAGCATGTATTTCAGAAATGATTTGGACGTTTTGGGGTAGAGGAGGAGAAGGCCTTAAAAAGTTCCTATCTGAAGGCCTTATCACCAAACAATCCACTTCCTTGAGTGATTCCATACCCTCCCTGTCACCAAAGCCCTCTCATTTGCACTCTTTGGGACTATTTCTTACCACTGACCAGAAGTCAAGGCATAGAAACTGATTTTTCTTCTTGTTGTCATTGTTTTTTTTTTCTTAGAATAAACAAGTAAATATTCTGTAACCCAGAGGGGATGGGTGAGGAACTTCAGGAATGTTGGTTCTGATAGTTGCCCAATTATACAGTATTAATTTCTAACATTGAACTTGAGTGAGAATTTCTTCCTCCATGGCCACTACCTAAATGTGCTCCATAAGATAACTATTGCTGGAGCTAACTGCTATAGGTAGCAGCCAGTAAAAGAAGTGATTTTGTTTGTTCTATATCTTGAAAAAGCAGGTTGCATGATTTAAAGTTTATATCATGTGTTGCTTCTAGCTCAGACTTTTTTCATGTGATTGTGATATATGACATCCTTTTTGAATAATAATGAAAATTCCATTTTTAATAATTGATGATAAACAATTAAAAGTAAATAATGAAAAAAGTAAAAAAAATCAGAAATAATAAGAAAACTATTTCTGTTATATAGAAGCATATTGTGAAACTTCAAACAGATAGACCTGAATATCCTTACTATGGAAATACTGGGTACATGCAAAAGAAAAATAAGAACACTACAAAATACCATTTGGAATATGTGGCATCTTGCTTTTGCATAAACCTGTGTGGCACAAATGTGGCCCTTCTGTTTTTTAAAGCTTACAACTCCCATCTGCCTTAGCTATCAAAGCCAATGGAGAGTGATTATGGATATTGCAGTCCAAGAACATATGGAGAGTTGCAGCTGCATAAACAAATAAAGGGTTTGACATAACCAGATTTTAATACAGATTTGAATAAGTCAGCAACTTCATCCTGAACCTAATGGTCACATTCCAGCAAATAATTTAAATGAAAAATGCTACTGAAAGTCATTTCCACCAATAAAAAAAGCTTAAATAATGTTTGCCCTGCTATGCGAGATTGCAGGATTTATAGTGCATTTTTCATATTTTGCGATTTTTGATTTATTATTGTTGTTCCTGCTGCTGTTGTTTTACTAAAACTCTGGAAGAGTTTTTTGTGCAACAGCCTTGTATTTTAAAGAAAAATATGTATTTTGTACAAAATACAAATTTCTGTGCATTAATTTGTTAACTCAACTCATGGTTAGCCAATATTTAACTCAACCTATGCTTAGACATTATAAAGTGATAACCAACCAATTTCTGTACATTAATTTTTTTAACTCAAATCATGGTTAGCCAATATTTAACTCAACTCATGCTTAACCATTATAAAGTGATAACCAACCACAAGTAGTAACATTAAACATTTTTTTCATTGAGAACTAGAGTATTCGTGAGCATTTTTTAAAACCTTAGAACCATGTTTCCGAAATTTCTCTTGTATTTTGAACATCAAAGGGTGAATGGAGACAAAGTAACATCATCCTTTTGATAACATGTCTTTGTTTTACAGATGCGCCAATCTTTGTATCAAATCAAACAATATATTATTCTTGGGAGGGAAATCCCATCAATATAAGTTGTGATGTTTTAGCTAATCCATCAGCATCTATTCACTGGAGACGGGGAAAATTGGTTTTACCTGGAAGAAACACAACTCATTTAAAGACCCACAGTGCTGGAAACAAGCTGATATTGGAGGTAAGGTTAGCAACATGACTTCTCGGGAAAGTCATAATTTCTTCAGCACTACAAACATATGTCAAATCTGACTAGGATTATATACTCAGAAACTCAGGTATTGTTATTTGTCAGAAATGTTTTTCATTTATATGAATAATTTCCTTGTTTTTGTCAAAGCTTTCATACTACAAAGAAGAAGTTTAAAATCCAGTCTTCTCTAAATGCAGTCTTGGTACCTGAGTGGTAGAGGATTCCTGCAGGACTCAGTACATATGAGAATAATCCTCTTTCATATCCTACAGAGGGCAAGAGATAGGGTTGGAGAAATATTTCCACCTATATTTTGTGGTTTCTCCAAATCCTACTTACATTTTTTCCTTGTCATTTCTTCATATCTATTCATAAGAATGCATTTTTGTTTTTGTTTCTGCAAAGAAGTATTTTGGGTGTTGTATTTAAAGGGATGTTTTTGGGTTTGTTTGTTTGTTTTTGCATAATTTAATAATTTAATAAATGTGCTTTCCACTGCACTTTTTGAATGCAACAAAAGTCCTTTTCATCCCATGCAATTTTATACTTCAGCACTTCAAGACTGATAAGGATAGTTGGATGTATCCAGAGACACCCCATTCTTTGCAACAGCCCTAGATGAGGAAAAGATGGCTGGGGGGAATAGAGCTTTATTGAGCTTGCAGTTATCCTTTGTATCTTTTATGACCTGTATATCCTTTGTATATGCACAGTACTTAATATCAGGAGGATCAGGTGCTTCATATGTCAGCTGAGAGAAACTTGTATTCATTTTGTCCCTGTAAAGGTTGCTCCCACATCTGACTATGATTTTGGACGATACAACTGTACAGCCACAAACAGAATAGGAACACGATATCAAGAATATGTCCTTGCTTTGGCTGGTAAGTAAAAAAAATATTATTTGTTTATTCATTTGTGCAACTGTATATCCTGACTTAATGTTCCAGGATGAAAGTATCAGGAATGTTAAGAGTTGTAAATATTTGCCATGAGAAAAAAAGAAAGGCATTCCAGTTTCCTTTTCCAAGTTAAGAAGATGCAGTTATTCAGCAGTTTTAATCTCACCAAGAATCTTTGAAGCAATGGACAATTAAGTCCCATTGACTGAAATCCTATTGTGCCCAGCACTAATATCATTATCATTATTATATATTTGGGCCAGATGCAAGTAGGAAAAGCACTTTTACTATAAGATTCAGATAGCTGGTGGGTCCTGAATCGGAATATAAATCATTGCTTGTCTCCTTGCCATTCACGCTTGTGAAAAAAACAGCCCTGACAATTGATTTATGTTTGGGTGAGAAGTGTTTAACCTATGTAAAAAAAGAGTCCACTTCTGAGATTTTTTTAGTGTCACTTGGTGAATGGTAGCAAGCACAAAAGAGTGTCCTGTACAATATAGATCATCTTGACTGCCGACATTGTTTTGTCAACATTCAGGCTGCCCTTTGCTATGTAAAGCTTGGCGTCCTTTATCCTGCTGGCAAAGTGGGCACAATATTGTGTAGCAATATCAGGCAATTTCCTGGTGTTCTGAATCATGGATACTGAAACACAGTATCTCACATTTAGATGCTGTTCCATGTCCTCCATACAGAGCATGTTACCATAGTCTCTCGAGACTGAAGGATGCCTAATCTAAATCTAGCATTTATAAACTGGAAGTTTTTCTGTTTCTGTATTTTTAAGTTGTGAATTTATTGCTCTTCATGATTATGCTTGAAGCCACTTAGTAGCATCAGGAAAAAAAATAACATACTAGAATGCAACTTTATTTCCAAATAATTCCATGACAGTTACAGTACTGTCTAAATAAGGTCACAATAAGCTATGTTATTCATAATGATAATACATATACTCTAAAATTAAAAACATTCCACCCATAATTTTTGCTAAGAAAACTACCAAATGAAGAGCAGAAAAATCATTTTATTAAAAGTTAATTGTAGCATCAGTCCTAACTGCTAAGAGATATCCCGGCCTGTAAGGTCTCCAGCCATCAACAGGCCTTTGTAGCTAGGCTACATGAGGTGGGACTCTACCCTCCTAAGACAATTGAGAATGGTCCAAATAAAAGATTAGGGTCAACATTTTGAAAAACTTGCAGCCAGATGGTTTCTAGATGGCAGCAGCCGCCTTTTTATCTGGAGCAACACCACATCTGCAAAATCAGAACAATAATGATCTCAACAAACAGTATTAAAGGAGGCACAAATTCAAAGAGTCAGCTTGAAATCTTTGTGAGTAAGGGTCAGGTAAATATTGAAATGAAATAAATAAAATGGAACCTAGTGGAAAATAGACAACTCATGCCATTATGTGCATTAAATAGCAAATTAATTTCTGGTCTACTTGGAACATGGTAGCTGATTTTAGCCACGTGTTATCCACATGTTATTTGGTCTGATTCCAAAAGATCTTCTGTATGGATAATTAGTGCAGGGAAAGCGCCCCAGAAGGAGACCACAGCTGTGATACAAGGATCTGAAGGCCTTAGGAATGGACCTCAACAGATGAGAAACCTTGGCATATTAGCATTCAGCCTGGAGGCAGGTGGTGCATGATGGCCTCTAGCAGGTGGTGCATGATGGCCTCTAGCAGGCTGAGGCAAAGAGGCAGTCCAGGACCCAGCAAAATCAGGGAGCTGGACAGGGGACAGATTGCATTTGTCTTCAGTGTGGATGAGATTGTCACTCTCATATTGGCCTTCTCAGCCAGACTAGACGCTGTTCCAAGACCTCTATTCAGAGCACATTACCATAGTCTCTCAAGACTGAAGGATACCTACCTATCCAAACTAGTTACCAACAGCTATAAAAAGAGGGCTAACTTGCACCAGCTAGATCGTGAATCAAAGTTAACGTTATTATTACAAGTCCTGGCTCTTGCAAAATGATCTCTGTGTAGTTTTCTCTCTGACTTCATTTATTTTTAATTGTGTGGCAATTCTTAAAGGTTGATTGTGCTGGCTAAATGTCACTATGTCTCCTTCATAAGCAATTAACATTTTCTTTATCAGTTTTATGAGAATGACCCTTAACACTTCCTTTAAAACAGAAGTTTGAAAAGAGGAAGAACTGGAGTGAGTTTGTTAAAGAGCCTTTTTGTATGAAGAAATAATAGCATATACAGCTCAATAAATGTTCTCAAAGCAAATACAATCTGTTTGCCAAGCATATATTTAACAAGTAAAGTCCCTATTCCATATATATTTATACCTGTTTGATACAGTAGGTTTGTGTGAAGGAAGGCATAGCAGGTTTAAGAATATATTAACGTCTTTCAACCATGGCATGTAATTTGTTTAATGTTTATTCTGTACTACAGCAGTTTTTGAAATATATTAAGGTCTGCTTAGAAGGCCTTATATTTAGTATAGGGCACTATAAATGAGAGAAAGAAATGTCAACAGGTTTAAATAACATTATTTTTCTTTTCTCATGTGCATTTGTGTGATTTATAATAGAGCGAACTATAAAAATGAATATTTTTTAAAGTTACTTTAATATATTTGGGTTTTTTATTCTTGTTCTTAGTGATTTTTCAAGTCTTGCCATGTGAAGATCACTTGCCAAGGCTTCCATTGGCACCAAGTAGATATCCTAGCTATCTGTGAAAACAAAACTCCTGGTCTATTTCCCCCCGTTTATTTTTCCCTCTCTCTCTCTCTCTCCTCTGTGTGTGTGTGTGTTTGTGTTCCATCTTTTGCTCAAGAAACTGTGAGTTCTGAGCAGCTCAGTAAACATTCCATGTGCCAGAAAGATACAATTGTGCATAGGAATTGTAGCAGTTTTACACATATGAATGTTTCTTGGGGGGTGGGGGAAATGACCATGAAACGTCAAAGAAAATCTGAGATTTCTTGGAAGAGTTTTTAAGAAAGAGAAAAAACTTCATAGAACAAATCTCATTGTTTCCAGAAAATAGGAATGTATTTATTTGATTTCCCTTGGTTTGTTGATGAGAGGGCCTGAAAGATTAATATCCCTATGAAAAACTGGTGTAACTTCTTGGTGCCAAAGAAAGCCTTGTCAAGTGAACTGAATATAATACACTCATAGAACTCTTTCTACAACAGAAGATGTTTTCAAATGTCATTTTAAAAGTGAGGAGGAGGAGTCTCTGGAATTTTGTAAAATAGAATTGCATAGCTTGCTTTCTTTTAAAAAGAGAAAGAAAACAAAAACAAAGAAAGGAGGCCTTTATCAAATTTTAAAACAGGCATATTGGCATCATCATTGGCATATTTCTAGAAAGTCACCTTGGATTAACTACACAGTTTTCTGGAAACCTCTTCCAAACATCTGCTACTACTTCAAAGAGCTAATGAAAAAGAAGTGAATTGAATCCTCAAAATCATAGTTACTAGAAATCCCTTGTAATGTTATTCCCTAATTAGAATTCAGAGTCACAAAACTACACTTTCCTCTTCCTCTTCCTCACTTTCCCCTTTAAGTGTGTAATTGTTTGAAGTTCAAAATTGTAAACTTTTGGCTCACACAAAAGTGCAACTAACCACCCTCTTGCAAGAGTATCAGGAACATCTTGCTACTCTTCAGATTGATTTTGGCAAATGACACTCCTTCTTGGAATGTATCCAGATATCTGAAGCAGCCTGCTTCAGTTCTTCATTTGGACTTCATCTGAAGATGATACCCATTCATGGTACATTGATGTTTTTTATTAATATTTGTTATTGAATATGATTCTTAGTAAGGGATATGATCAAGGGCCCCAGTAAAGACAAGGACTTAAACAAAAAATTGCAAAGTTCCCAATAAGTTATCTGGAGAATACAGATAGGTTTGTGAGATTGATTGATTTTTGCACTTAAAGGAAGAGATTCCTGGATATAACACAAAAGAGATGATGATGGAGAAAGTGGACATGCAGTTCTTAGTACAGATTTAACACAACAGGTTGTTAGATATTTTAGAGTTGACGAGGAATCATAGTTTTAGTAATATTGCTTGGATAGGAAGATGAGAGATGAAAACAAGTTCAACATAAATTTAAAGTGGATACCCTATATTATAAACACCAATTTAACTTTTTATTGATGTTACATTGCATATTTTATGATATTGCATGGTTACAACACAAAAAAGTTCAACTGGATTGCCATATTGATCATGATTTTTCTTCCCAAGATGCTGAGCAAGTTATTATGGTTTTATTGCAAAGCAATCTATGTTTTGTTATATACTGATTGGATTCTTCATTACTTTTCTACAGACGTACCATCTAGTCCACATGGAGTGAAGATTGTAGAGGTATCACAAACTTTTGCTAAGGTGTCTTTCAATAAACCAGATTCACATGGAGGTGTCCCAATTCATCATTACCAAGTGGATGTGAAAGAAGTTACATCAGAAATATGGAAAGTTGTTCTGTCCCATGGAGTTCAGAGTAAGTTTTCAAAGGAAAAAGAAATAGGAATTATTCATAGGAGAATTGTAATGATGGAAATAATTCATTTGCTATTTTTGTCCATGAAAGAACCTTATCTAATGATAAACTAAAATACTTCAACAAATGTGCACTTGTGTAAATTAGCTAATGATCTTGACCAGGGAGAACCATAAAACATGAGTAGAACAATTATCTTGGACAGGATCCCTACCAGGAGAGGTTAAAACTGCCTCCTATGATCAGGATTGGTGTAGTATTTATTTATTTATTTATATTTTATTTTATTTATATCCCACCTATCTGGTATTGCGACCACTCTAGGTGTCTTCCAAACACATAAAAACAACATATAAATATAACAAAAAATTATACATCAATAAGATGGAAAGGAAATAACAAAAGATAAAAGAGAAAAAGTTAAATATTAACTGGAGGGAAGGCCTGCTTAAACATCCAAGTTTTTAATTATTTTTTAAGGGTTAGTAAGGGACAAAGGGCGCTGTGGGCTAATCCGCAGAAGCCTGTGCTGCAGGGTCAGAAGACCTGCAGTCGTAAGATCAAATCCACGTGACGGAGTGAGCGCCCGTCGCTTGTCCCAGCTCCCGCCAACCTAGCAGTTTGAAAGCATGCAAATGCAAGTAGATAAATAGGGACCACCTCGGTGGGAAAGTAACAGCGTTCTGTGTCTAAGTCGCACTGGCCATGTGACCACAGAAGATTGTCTTTGGAAAAAAACACTGGCTATATTGCTTGGAAACGGGGATGAGCACCACCCCCTAGAGTTGAACACGACTGGACAAAAATTGTCAAGGGGAACCTTTACCTTTACCTAAGGGACAGAGGCCTTAATTTACCTTGCCTCTAATGATCCAGTTGAAAAGAGTGGTCGAGAAGAGGGTGGGCAGGGGTAACTCCCCGCATGACAACACCACAGTTGCCTTTCTATGAGCCAGTCTAACAGGCAACGTTGGCTTAGAAGGAGAGAGAATGCAGGGAAAATCACAGTCATGTGCCACCTTTCCCAGCATGATGCAGAAATTCAGAAATTTGGTGTACACATGTGCACAACAGGGTCCTTGCATCTGAAGAAATCCTGAAAAGGCCTCCCAGGCTATCCTGGCCAGCACCCAGACTGCAAAAGAAGAAAGGAAAAGAAGACTGGAGATGTGGCTGTTTTGAAGAGGGATGATCGATATGTGTACTATCTGATTACAAAGAGCAAATGCTTTTATAGGCCTACATATGACAATTTACGGAAGCATGATGCAGAAGGATTGGTTGAAGAATTCCAAGAGATTAACATGGTGGACATGGGGCAGTCAAGGGAGAGTGGTAATTACGAGCAAGGTATATGCATACAGTTGCCCCTTCTCACAAGACTGCAGATTTGTCTGTATGCACTATATCTGTGATTATCAATCATCCAGGTGAAGTTATCTGGAAGTTGAGTCATGGAAACTGGACTTCTTGTTAAGCTGAAATGTTTTGCTGCTCATCCAAATAGCTTCTTCAGTCTGATGAGAGTTGGTAGGAGATCCCTGATATATCCACCACATTAGTTTCACTCCCCCCTAGTCTGAATAGGCTCATTAAAAGGACAAAGGATGGGGGGGGGTGAGGGATAATCCCACTTCTGCAGTCCTTCTCCACCCATTGTCATGGGTCATTAATGGTTGTTAACAGTGGTCTTTCTGGTGTATGTGGTCCTGATCTTTCTAGGGACAGATGAAAAGGTATCATGATGAATACATGATAAATGACACAATAAGTCTATCTCCTATTTATCATGCTGCCTTTTCATCCCTTGCTGAAGAAGCTACTTGGATAAGTAGCGAAACATTTCAGCCTAACAAGAAAGAAGTCCAGTAGCCATGATTCAAGTTCCAGACACTGCATGCACTGCATGAGAGCAACCCCTACACTCACCAGTTATGGATAACGTTATAGCCAGACATTATTTTAAAAGGTTATACACTAACTTAAAATTAAGCTACTGCTAATTTTAATATTTTATTTCATTTGATGTCAACATTTTGAAGTTTATCCTAGATCACAGCTTGCATAAATCAGAATGCAACACACAAACACACATGAAATCACAATGCTAAGACCACAGGTATATACTAAAATGCAATAAACCTGTTATCGAGATACATTAAATAAGAATATATTTGTCTGTCCCCCTGCACTGCCCCATGCATACACATTTTCAAAGCTTGTTCAAATAAGTATGTTTCCCAATGACAACAGCAAAAAAAGACAGCTTATATCTTCTACAGTGAGGTTCCACCACTGGAAGGGCTTATTTTGAGTTCTTGAAAACTGACTCTCTCCTCAGTTCTTTTACTTCATTGCACTGTAAGAAGAAATGTGTCAGAATATACTATAAGAATATCAGCTGCCTGAAGAAACTTCATTGCACATATACAAAGCTAGTACAAAAGAAAAAACTGAAAATGACAGCTGTCTGACTCATTTCAGTGAAACTGGGGAATATATATCAGGATATTAACTCTTCTGTATTTTTCTATATTATTAATCTGCAATTACACTAGATCAATAAAAAAGGATGATATAAAATTATTTTTCTTTTAAACATATCTAATGTATTTGCAGCTTAATTGTAATTTATACAAGTATAAAGGTCAACAGGAAAAGCTGGTGAAATAATCAGTTTACAGGACATGATGAGTCTATGTGGCACAGAAAACCATTCATGACATAGTTGATGATAAATGGTGAATAAAAGCAACTGTCAGGATGGAAGAGTAAAATATCTGTGTTCTCTAGGAAAAAGAAAAGCAAATGAAGCACAAAAGTATGGTTGAATCTGAGAGTAACAAATTTATTTCGGTTTTGTGCTTATAGTGGACTATATATATTTTGTGTCAAAAGTTCACAATACTTTTATGATTTTTTTTGTTCTTATCCTTGTTGAAAAAGTTAAGCTGGAGTGTGGTTCAACATTAAAAAGATCTTGAGCTTGTGTCAGATTTAGTACACCTGAAATCAATTTAAAAACATCTGTTTACATGATGTCCAACTGAGCAGGCATTTTTTGGGTCAAAAAGCCTGGGGTTTTTGTTCAGAAAGCAAAGTATTTTAAGCAGCCTCAAGGGGGCTGTTTATTTTAACTCAACTGTAAATGCAGTTTACTTTGAATAATTTTGACATATGTGTTTGCCTGTCTAAGAGTAAATTGTGTCTGTGAGGTTTGTCAATTAATGGACGCCAGGATCATGGGTTTGGCATTGCATTGAAACCCTTGTAGTCTGATTTGTTATATGTCTCTCTCTTCTCTCTGTAATACTAAAATAGTGCTATCTCACTTTACAAGAAAGAAAAAGAATGTTATTTATTTATTTA